TCCTATTTCTTTTTGATCTTCAGCTTCTTGTCTTCCTACTATCCAACTTTTCATTTGCTTCCACCATTATCTTAGCTCTCAACACACTTGGAAGTGTACAGTTTGCTTAGCAAAGTGACCGGTTTCTGCCTCATTTCATCGCGTGAAGACGACTGCTGGAACCAGCGCTGGGTACTTTTCTGGTCTCCCCTCAGCTCTGGAAGGGCCTCTTCTCGTTTAGTTTCCTTGCAGAAAAATGTGTACAAATGCAGACTTCAGATTTCCAAGCTTCCCAGATGGTCTGTGCATGAAAAAGTCAAAATTGTTGGAAAGGATTTTGATTTGTCTTTCTTTCTATTGTCCTCCCTTGGTATTTTCTGTTTGTGTCTCCCATATTGGGCCAGATTTTGTAAGTGGAAAGAGAACATCTGTCGCTGTTGAATCGGTTCCTAATCGGGCAGAGTAGACCTGCCCGGAGGATTGTCCTGTTGGTGTCATGGTAGCACGTTGGGCTGCTCACAAGGTCCTTTGAAACCCCCAGGGGAGATGGATGAGAATTTCTACTCCCGTGAAGATGCCCAAGTTCTACACTGCCCTGTTAGGTCTCCGGAGTGAGTGTAGACTAGCTGGCATGAGTTTTTGTAGTCTCTGTGGAAGCAGACTGCTCCCTCTTTTTTCTGGGGGAAGTTTGTTGCTTCTAATTGCCCACCTTTCAGGTGGCAACCAAGCACTTAACCCCCCCACCAGGGCTTCTAGGGAAGAGATATGCATAAAAGGACAAATCTTTTGCCATCAAGCCAATTCCAACCATCCGTCACCTTCTATCTGTGGGGAAAAGATGAGACTGCCTGCTTCCGTAAAGATTGACGGAGGCAGAAACCCTTTGTAGGGTCCCTATGAATGAGAATCAACTGAATGGAAGTGGGCCGTACGACAGAGTAGACCCTTTCCCATGGGATTTGCAACTGCAAACATTCACAGCAACAGAAGGTGGGTTTGAACTTGGATGTAATTTATGTGCCACAAACACCAGCGAAAACACTCAGCACTTTAAAAAATACACCAAATAATTGTTTTCTTTTTAGTTTCCTCACACCGAGAGGAAAAGTGTTTCCAGCAAAGCCAAGCTGAGCCTGGAAGGAGACAGTGAACACCTGGAAGTAGAGAGAAGAAGATTAGGAAGAAGGAGTTGGATTTCTGTGAGGCAATGCTGGCTACATGACAACCAAATTTGATAATAGTGGGTTTTAGGCAAGGAAGTTTTGGTTAAAAACGAATAGACAGCTGTGTAATACAATGACTAGAAAGATGAAGGTGTCCTTGAAGTGCAAAAGGTTAAAGTGTTTGGCTGGTGATCTGAACCCGTCCTTGGCTCCCAAAGAGAGCGAGCTGGCACTGTGCCTTGGTCAAGGTTGCTTTGCAGGGGAAGCAAACCCACCCAAGCAGGTCTACGTGGGCCCACGAGGTCACTGAATCAACCTTTGCTCGCTGGCACCTGCCAGCAATGACCTTAGAGAAGAGCATTCCTCGGTATCGGGCTATCGTGGACGTG